TTTCAAATCTTGCACTAATTTTCCATTACAAGCAACGTCACATTATTTTCGTTCCTTACCAGATTTCCGAGTCATAGTCGGATCTTCCACTCGTTTCGTTTCACTACTGCACGCTACGTTACGTGACACATTGTCACCACTAGCGTCGAAATTTCTCGGCTTTAAAATATACCATCCCATGAGCACTATCACAACTAATATGTACAATGAAAATATTCCGTCACCTTATTTTTAAAGTTTTGGTGGATGAAAAACTCACAACCATTTGCAAATTTGCCAAGTCCATATGTTTTTGCCATTGCACGCAATAATCAAGGCCAACAAAAAGAGCTGTTGTAAATATTTTCTATCGCACAACCAAGGAAAATGACTGCACCAATTTTCTCCAAACTACATGATTTTCTTTTCAGTGCACAGAATTTCTTTTCAATTAGAAAACAACTAAGTTATTCGATCAAATAAAAATCTTTCTTGTCATTATTCCATTGTCTGGTATATTATTCTACTTTGAAAACTAAAACACTTTCCGGAAACGTAGCACAGAACTGCCATATCAAATTAGACAAATTAATCACAGTACTTCCGCATACGTAATATACTCATACTCAAGCTTTCGCAAGCACACGCGAACACAAGATAGGGGCTATTTCACGTAATATAATTCAAGAACAGAAAGAGCGATGTAAAAGATACAGAAGTGCTAATGAAAATAATTTACCCTGAATTTCTCATCTGCTGATGTTTAGATTATTTTTAAAACGGCTATTACAAACACGGTGTTAAATATGATGTTTGTTCAAATGAATAAGGAAGCTATATTATACTTCTTTCTCACAATTACAAAAGTCCTATATTTTGTTGGATGTACTCCTAGGAATCGCACATATTATCAGAGACCTCTTGTGATAGTAATAATAAGTCAGCAGGGCGCTGCGACGTGTGTTAAAACCAAAAAAGCCTTATGTGCTGGCTTTGGGCTAAAACATTCTGGCGCGTAACATGATGTATCTTTTGCCCTGCTCTTGTAAGCAGGCGAATTGCAATTTGGTTGCCCTAGCAACCGTCACAGCATTTCGCTTTGAACGCCATGCTGTGACGCTACTGCGTGAAGATATTATGCAAAGATCTGGGATTCCTTCCCGTCGCACAGCACAATCAGAAAGTACGTGGTGTCAGTACCGGGACCGCCATAATGCTAGCGTAAGAGAATCTCCCCTAAAAAGCACACGGATGACAGCTAGAGAGGTGCTCGAACACACGAACACACGAGCACACGAACAAGAGGTACACGAATGCTCTTTATTTTAAATTAAATGCAAATGAACTTTATTATAATTTGTCTCATATATATAGTAATTTAGTATTGAAGTAGCATTCAACTCCTTCATTTGACTCATAACACTGAGTAACGCTTAAACCGTTAAGAGGATTTTCAGCGAAAGTCACACTTCATGATTGATCTGAATCGTTAAAAAAATGTTCCCGGAGAAAGTCACGGCCCTCTACCTCCCTCAGCGCCCGCCTATGCACTATAACTTTCCCAGATAAGGTAATATATAGTGTACGGGATAGTTACTGTCCGCGCTGAGATGTGGCCCCCGATTTAGTAAATATTTTTGTTGTATTTCTCTTCATACTCTTTTTTTTTTCAAAGAATAGAGCACAATGCACATACTTCAGTGCCATGAAAACAATTTTCGTTTAAGCTTTTAAAATATCAAAAATATAATAAGTATTTTAGCTTTATAATTGGCCCTCCGTGCGGTAAGGAGCTTTTAAAGTAGAGGCTTATGGGTTCGATTCTATTTATTTTGTCGAAAACAGTAAAATGTGATGTATCGAGAGATGTATAATCTGGGCAGATTTTTTTGAGCCCCGCAACTACCTTGCTTATACCTTGCCTTACCTTAATGCACCGTTTGTCACACACAGTTTCTAACTATTTTTGACGTTAAATAAATGAAAAGCACATAAATAATATGCATCGTTGAATGATGAACTAGTGGGGCAATAACCGCGTATACTTTCTCGCATTATTTCTAAATACTCTACTGTATAATACTACTACATACACAAGCAGAAGTGTTTTCAGCGAGATAACATTATTTTCCGCACTGACACTGGAACTCAAGTCTTGCGAGTGTAATGGCCATTTGCCATATCAATGTGCTAGAGAAGAACGGCAAATCCACGCTTAAATACGTAAAATATTTCGTATTTTCAATTTTTTTTCAATTTTAGAAAATAAGGCCAGTTTGCCGAAAATGGAACTAGCACCTTTGCTGTCCGTTGCTACTTACGAGGAGAAAAATCAATAAAAAAAATTGATACAGTTTCTGAGAAAATATTATTCTTAGATATTGCATAAATTTCAGACACAAATTAACGAAACTACTCATTCATTCTCGCCTTATTATCTCTCAAAATTGTCCACAACATATTTTAAAGTGATGATGTTTTACAGCTGGGTTTATGACAAAAACAACTATCTTTAATATTGTAGTTTTGAAATATGAACATCGTCTTGTTCGAAAATAAGACCGAAATTGAACAATCACCATATTTTTTATCGACCCTTCGAGAAGAAAATTTGAAGAAAAAATTTGAAGCGGCATTTCAGATTTTTTTAGACATTGCATACGTTTCAAACACAAATTAAACGAAATCTACTCGTTTAAATTTTTTTTTTTAAAGTGCATGACATTTTTTAAAGAGCTGATTTTTTACACAAACTTTGTCAAAGGCAAAACACTCTACTATCAATTGTGTAGTTTTGAAATGTTAACATTACAATTTTCAATTTGGTTTTTGATACATACGAGGAGAAAATTTAAAGAAAAAAATATGTACTGTTTTAGAGAAGAAACGTTATTAAATAAATGCATTTAATTCGCGCAAAATTGGGTGAAAACTACGCATATTTTTGAAAAATTGTACAAGATCTTATTTCAAGATCTGTCTTAAAGGAACAGATATTAAGAAAAATCTCTGACTTCAATATTATAGCTTTAGGAAAACATCCAAAAAATTGCGCTTTTGCAATTTGCGAAGAATCAGTGATTTCAACGAACAGACGACCTGCACCATTCTCTGACAAGTCTTTTACCCTATCCAAGGACAAAGTTTAACAAAAACAATTGGTGTCAGTTTTGAGAATATTTCGAAAATTTTTTTGAAGCGTCACCTAAAAAGCCTCAAAATCCACATTTGAAACTTCTAATGCCTCAAGTTCGTTCATATCGATGGGGCAATATCAATTTTCGAAAAAATATTGAACGGCTTAAGCGCTAACGTAGACCATACGGGGGCATACGGAGGGAGAGACAGACGTTTTGCCGCCAATCGAATTTTCGGTATCGAAAACATGGATTTTGACTACACATCGTGATAAATGAAGCAATTTAATAGGTATATGGACAAGATTTATCAATTTGATCGTTACCAGGGATCCACAATAAGAGTTTTTCAGCCGAAAATTCGCAGTTTTTCCCTCGGCATTGCTGCGTAACCAGTAACGACAAAGCAAAAATTGGAAATTATCAGATTATGATATAAAGAAAAGGAGCATATTCACATACAACACCCATTACGCTACAGCACACGCTATCAATCATGTTTTCGAGAGATTTTACCTTATGACATATTTCAAAAACATGCTACTTTTATCGTTTTTTGCCTGCGGGTTATTTTTGTAATAACCCGCCATCCCTCGACTAGCGCCTCCACGTTCTGCCTCAAGCCTTCGCCGCTAGAGCGCTTCACACGCGAGCAGAAGTAGCGCTAACGCCCTCTGTCAGCGCAGAAGGATGTTTCGCATGTCGCGGTCTGTGGGACAGTTGCGCGGCGAGCGGAGACGTTTTGAAGGCTCCTGCTTTGAGAAGTGTGGGCGGCATATTGTTGTATTTGTGATTCTCATTGTCGAGTCGCTAATCTGTCTTGTGGTGCCAGGGAACTGCGATGTTCAGTAAAGTAGTGTAAAAACTATCAAATTCTTGAGACAACTGCAGCAATGACGGCTGGTTCGTTTCCTTCGTGGAGGTATTCTAAGAGGTCTTTCAACAAATATGTATATTAAAATCGTCCTTAGTGAAGGGAAACGTCTTTAGCTGCGGGAATGATGTGGTCTGTCAGCATTATTGAAAAGTGAAATGTGCAGTTGTTCTCACTGTGGCCGCATTCGGCATTGGCTGCGCTGCTGCGACACGGAGTGCCCTAGTGGCCGCTGGAGGAACTTTGTCGACAAGCGCTACGAGTTATTTGAGCAATATCAGCTAATCCTAGCGTGTCTTAAACATCGATTTTTCACTATCGATAGTTTTCGATACTATCACAATTGAATATCGAGAGCATCGATATTTTCGTATTTTCAGTAAATATAATTGTATAATTATTTGTGTTTAGTTAGAAATTTGTGTTTTATACAAATTCCTGCGAAGTAAATTAGTACTAATTTAGTATTCATTGAACTCTTGCATTAATGAATCATCAATAAACAACATTTAATTATGAGCACAAACAAATTTCATCACAGATTCCACTCGGTAACGATCTTATTTTTGTAACAAGAACAAATTTCGGTGCATGAATAATAATACGTCCAACGTATCCATTTTCATTTGACCACTTTCGGTCATCATAGTTTCTCCTGCTTTGAAAAAAATCACTCTGAAGGTACCGACGAAGCGAGTATGTGTATTTGAATGCTACTGCCCGAAAGGATTCAACAATATAACCTTCAGAACGTAATTACATCTTTCTTTATACTAAAAATATTAGTTACATAATTCAGATACATAACTATTTCTTGATTTATTGTTTTAAATGCTTATCATGTCGGTTTTGAGTGCTCTCAGTGTTTTTTGCCATCAAAAAGGTATTGTTTGTATAAAACTGTAGATTTATAACTATCGAAAAACTATCTGTCACAATGTAGGTAATCACCGATAGTTCGAACTATCAATAACTATCGATGTTTAAGAAACACTAGCTAGTTAACACACTAGCCTCGTGTCTCTCGTCGTCGGCATCGAAGCCCATAACTGTCTTATTTTCAAAATATGAAGTATTATTTTCAAAATATGTACGAAAGCTTTTAAATTAATACTCACCTCCCTCTCCTTCATATAATGTCTCGCACAAGGGCTAATTCTTTCCCACTCCAATAGAGTGTTCGTGTTTTTTGGATGAACCCCAGTAACCAACATATAATCGAGTAGTAAAATAAAGTAGCATTATTCAAAATATGGCACTCTACTTAGTTTTATATACGCCAAAGAAATATATGTAGGACTTGCATGACGACCCCGGGACAGGCGGTGGCCAGAACGCTGAAAACATGAAACACATCAATTTGAGTGATTAGGACACATTACATTCATTGTATTTAGGTTATAGTGAACCTCTGGCGACCAAAATGTTTGGTAGACTGTATCAGATGTTCACTGTATCCAATATGGCAAAATAAATTAGTTTCTCTACGATTTTTAATTTGCTTATTTCAAAGATACTTGGAAATTTCCAAACATTGCGAATTCTTTATTTCAGTAACTTTATTTAACCTTAAAATACATTTTTTACTGTTTCCTTTCTTTTGCTTTTATTTGCTTTCATTTGTTTTATCTACCAACTGCCCATCTCGGTCACAAAATGTGATTTCAAGAAGCACTATTTTATTGGCCACACATCAAGTCCTTTCATTTGCAAGTGGTTCGAAGTAATTATTACCATGATCTAACCGACGTTGTTACTTTATAATAAAGTGAAACGTATAAAACATTTGGATCCGTGTGCCCTTTTATCTGATTTGAAAAAAGGCGAATTTCGAGCACCTGCGCTATTCGAGTAAAAGTTACTCTTTCTGTATATGTTTAAAAACTTCGGCTTTTTCAAATATTTATTTTAGAAAACTGTATTAATTTTTATCATTGAGAGAAATATTACCTACATTCAACTTAAATAATCGTTTGGAAAAAATCCACAATGTTCATAATACAGTCACAAAAATGTTCATAATTTTTCACGGAATGGGGGAACGTCCAACACTTAAATTAACTAGAATTCGATGTAATTCAATGTTATATAATAATAAATGATTACATAATAAATACGTATTTTAACTTTTTGTCATAAAAAAAGTTTGCAGTTTCCTGTTCTGAATTTAAATGTAAACGGTTGAATTTCACAATTTAAGTCTCGCATCTAAAATATTACTTGTTATTACTAACTATTTTAATGTTAACATTTTTTAATATTTTCATTTTCGCAAACTTATTTTCAATATCCTTTGCTTGCGAAGTTTAACTGAACATTTAATGCCATTTCTTGCGATACAATTGGAACATATGACTTGATAGGCCTCTTGGCAGAAGTGAAAAGTAATGATTTGGTGATCTGCGTAATATTTTCGGTTGACTTTTATACAAAGTCTTAAAGATCCATAAAATTTTAGTTACACGTATTTATTCTCAGGTTGTGTTTATTCTATACGTTCAGACAACGCATGTAAATGACAACTTGTGAGAGCTGTTCTTTTTAGTGGGTTGTTTAAATTATTGCAAAAATGTGGATATTCTACATACTTTTGCAGGAGAAATACCTGAAAATATCATGAATATGTTCAGATGTTTATACGTTTGAACTGCGAATTTCATAGACCGGTTGTACCTGTAAACGGCCTATATGAACTTGACCAACTATTTAATTATTATATTATTAAATAAAATAAATGAATTAAAACATTTAAACGTTTTATTAATTATGTTAAATATGTTAACTATTTTCAATGTATTTCGCAAATAGAGGAAACCCATAAGAGGACAACGAGTATTATTTATTATCAATTTATTATGAAATAAAATGTGGTGGTGTCCTACAGACGGAGAACTCATAAGTAGACATACTATTTCCTTTTTCACTACCACCGATCACAGATATAAAAAGATATTTCGGAGAAAGTTCTATACCTCTGTCCACAGAATGCCATGATGATTCTCAATCAAAACTTTAAAGTTGGCTCCCGCCACAACTAGCAGGGATGAGGATGAGTTGATTTCATTTGAGGTTAATGATTCCTTTGAGATATTTTAATGTCTCAATTTAAATTCCCCTCGATGTCTACTATGAATAAAACTGTACACGACCGATACATTTATTACGAGAAATTGTTGCGAGAAGTATGTTTGTACCACGAGATTGGAAAGTCTACATTAGCCTACAAATGAAATTTCAAAGATGAATAGCAGAGTTAAAATCGATTTCCATCAGTTTAATAATTCAGCTGCTCTGATCGAACGATTCCACATTTCCTTGTGTTTTCTGACAGATATTAAGCTCATCCATGAACATGGAATCACGAATGAACCAATCCTCCTTTTCGATACTAAATGTTTCTCGTGGAAGAATAATCGAAATAAGGAACGTTATCATAAATCCATAATTGGGAATATTAGTTAAAATTAATTCGAATATAATTTTAAAAATTATAGTTTGTAGATAATATATTTAATCAGTGTAGTAATAATGTCTTATCTTCAACTTTGACGAGAGAACAACAAACATCAAAAACACCAGTTAAGTTGTTTAGTAAGGTAATGTTGTTTAGTAATTGCCCGAATCCTCATGAAAAAAATTCAAAAAATGAACTGAGGAAGGTCACGCGGCCTCATGGTCCATTCGCCGTGAAAATACATCGCGCAAGCGGTCAAGGGTAAAAGGTCTGTTGGAGGCAGACTAGGTTCGGAAACCGGCTGTGAGAAAATGCCATTACATAAAACGGAACCCCTCTTACAGGAGCGGCAGCAGCCCACGCCAGGAGTTCCGCTTGCGGAAGCCACGCAGCGGGGGGGCGCGGGGGGGGGAGGGTGTCGTGTTCCTCCTTGCTCGCCCTCTCCCACCTTCAAACGCCTGCCGACGCCCGTGTTCGTCGTGGACCGGAGATTGCCTTGGGAGAGCTCGCTGCTTGCATCCTCGTTCTGGGACTCCGCAGGGCCTCAGAACAGAACCGCTTCACTACTCGGGAATTCCTCTTGTCTCTAGAAAATACCACATCGGAGTCTCGATTATGCAGATAAGTTTTTTAAACAAATCAGATAGCGAACATTTCTTTAGGGGGGATTTCGTTATCGAAAGAAATATAGTGGATGCTCTTGTATTAACTTCATTTGTTGGAATCAATCTTTCCTGTAGGTTTGGAGCCATTGTCCTTCAATCTCTTAGCCTCTTTAGTTCCAGATATGAACTGCAGCATAGAGTACCCATGATTTGGTTAGTGAATACGGTTAATGGATACCCATAACACGGTGAAAGTGTGTGCTGTTGTAGCACGTTTAAGGCAATGAGCTCGTGATGTAACTAGCCTTGTAATAAGTTCATTACAGCGCAACGAAACTTCTTATAGCATCATCTCGCTGCGCTAATCCTTATCTTGGATAACATTATTTGCAACTCTTGTAATATCCACAGCCCAGAGTGACAGTTCTACCAACCAATGGGCCTACAGGAAGAGCCGTGCAGTGTTTCTGCAGGTTGCGTGTGCTGTTGCGTAACCGCAGCCGAGTTCCGCCCCCGGAGGGGAACTGGCAGTCTTGGGTTGGGATCTCGGCTGCCCAGTGGGTCTCCACGACCAACAGACGCGAAGCCTCTCCGGCTGTCATTCCGAATCGCCGCCACTCACCTCGTGTGTCAAATCCTGTCCCGTCTACGTGAACGTTCGAGCCCTTAAGAGATAGGTAAAGTTATCACTAAAAACAGGAGCGGTACAGGTCGCTAAGGGCGACACTTGATGTCACTGCAGTGCCTGGTGATCCTAAGGTTCAAGTTCCGACGGTTGCGCATTTTCTATGCTAGCTTCATAGCTGGATCGAATTCAGTCGCTGTCTGGAGGAGAATTCTAGCGGTCGGCTGCTCTGATCGGTGGTTTTTCGTAGGTCTTCCGATCAATACTAGGAGAATGAAGCAGAATACTAACAAACAAGCCACAGACCACGCGTGATATTTCCTTCCTCTTCCTTGCCCTATCCTCACCCCTTACTTACACTCGCATACAATCTACTACCACACATACCGGGAGATCATTTGGGAGCTTAAAATGTGTCCCAACTGGGGCGGTACCCCGCTGGTGAGAGATACCTGATTAGTGAAAACCCCCCATGCAGATGCGTATCTCGCCGCTCAAAGGGAGGATATCAGCCTTCCTTCCCGCGTTAAAACATGTACTACACTTCCGGGAATAACGACATTAGAAGTTGACGCGCCCAGAAATACTAATCAATTTATCAACTAAAGACTGGATCGTCATTAAAGATCTAATTGAAAAATATACATGCACAAACATGCATCCTCAAGTACTCGGACATGCATGAATAAGGGTAATTATTCCACTGAATTAAATTTTATTTTTTACTAATTTTACTTATATTTTCTAACAATGAATATGACATTTTATAAAAGTGAAACTTCTTCAGTGATATTCGAATTTTTTTCTTTGGAATTTAGAAACTCGGTCAACTGTTCTTCGGTGAAATTGTTTTTGTTTACCTGAAAAAATATTTTGAATACAGAAAAATACTACTTCGTCACTACTTGTGTTAGTTGTCAGATTAAAGAAAAAATCAATTCCATCTCTTCACACTACGAAACGAACAATATTAACTCTGCTCAGAATGTCTTCCGCAAAAGTCTTTTCCTTTTACGGACTGGGAGAGGTCTGACGAGGTCATGAAACTTTATTTCATTCATTTCATGCTTGCTATTGCACGTAGCACTTCAGAGCCAATATTGCGAAGAAGCTCTCGCTGCTCAAAGGGAGATCACAAAGCAAAGGGAGCACAGTCCCAGCTATTTCCCTAAGTACCTGTCAGATGTTCACATACCTGGACATTCTTTGGCCATGTACAATTCTTTATAAATATAAAACAATTCAATTCAATTTTCATATCTCTGCTTTTCAGTGAATTGTGATTATATTATTCTAGAATTTGTAAATCGCTCTTTTCATTAGTCTTCGATTATAATATACTGAACCAATAAAATAATATTTTTGATTTCTTTTTAATTTTTTTTCAACAAATTTGTAATACTTTTCTAATTTTTCTATTGCTCTTCGCATTTTGCGAAATGAACCCATTTTATTTTACTAATAGCATATCCTTTGGACAACAGAACAAGTAGGGAAAGTACTAATTATACTAAGAAGCACTTTAGTAGCTTGTCGGAACAAGGTACCAAGTAGAAAGGCTGGTTCTTCGCCGTCGACTTGGAAATACGTTAGGATTTGAGTCAAATTCCGGCTTAGGTGACTTAGCACATCAGTGGATGTCACTGCAACGCCTCTGATTGGAAGGTCCTAGTGTTCGATTCCAGACGATGACAGGATTTTCGACACTAGCTGCATAGATCGAATTCAACCGATGTCTGGAGAAGAATTCTAGCGACCAACTGTTCTAATCGGTAGTTTAACGTGAATCCGCTGATCAACACCAGGCGAGTGACGAAGTAGTTTCCTAACAAATGGACCACGGACCTCGCGCGATCTTTCCTTCCTCTTCCTTGTACTAATCTTCCCCTTTACACACATTACAAGCACTACTCTTCGACATATACCGGGATACTGGTCGGGAACTACGAGCTTCTGCCGGCTGGGACGGTGCCACGTAGGTGGGAGATACCTGGCTAGGAAAATAAACAGCAACACGACTGGTAGATCGTTGCAGGATCTCACCATCCAGAGGGCAAAAATCGCGACCTCTCGCGATAAAAAGCATGCACTACATTTACTGAGAAGTAACTTTAGCAGTTGATGCGCCCGGAATAACAAATCAATCAAGTCAAATTGGAGATTGAGTCAGATTGGAGAAATTCTTCGTATGCCATCCTTTTGAGGGGAAATTAATCCGGCTGTTACATACAATAGATTGACAAGTAAGATCTTCAAGCCTAAAAGAAGCCTGTGAGCTAAAAGTCTGATTGCATATAATTGACAACTTTCGCCTCTAGATGGAGAAAGAGCGTAACGGAAATTGCAACAGACGGAAGAGCATGTCTGATTGTCTGAGCCTCGATTCGTAAAATAAGATATGATTTTTTTAAACGTGCTCTATTTATTTATCTATTTAAACTGTTTGTAAAAAAAGACCATGCCTGATGAGAGAGTAGTCTTCCTCGGCCGTAGTCAGTATTTACTAGGCTGTCCGGGTGACGCCGCGTCCATGGCGAAGGTGCCGACGTTTCGGTCGCCAAGGACACGGCGTCACCCGGACAGCCTAGTAAAAAAAGCATGCCTGATGGCCTGAGCCTCGATACATAAAATAAAAAATAATTGAATTCAACACGTGCCCTCTTTATCTATCTGCTTTAGCAGTTTGTTAAAAAAAAGTCTGCTTGTGTGAGGGCCTGTGGCAGGAAGTGGTGGCTGGACAAAAGAGGCGGAAGCGCTCGTTAGCAGGAGGCCGAGTCGAGCGGGGGGCTTTGTGCAGCAAGCCTCGCACGTGAGGGGTGGAACATCTCATTCACTTGAGCCGAGATCTGCCAGCGAGGGACTGCGCTCATGGGCAGGCAGCTTGCTTTCATGCGCACACGTTTCGGAACGCTCAGCTACTTCATGCCGACGGCGAGCGCTCTTGTGGTCTCGAGTCCGCAACTGAAGCCTCTGTTATCGGTAAGTTGCAGGTTCAAAGCCTGGTGATAGTTAAGCCCATCTTTCACACCTGTGAAATGATTGATTACTGATTCCGGGCGCGTCAACTGCTAAGGTCATGTGTCCCGTAAGTATGGTACATGTTTTCATCGCGGGAGATCGCGGTGATCGTCGCCCGCTAGCTGGCGAAATTTGGCGCCCACCAACCGTCGGCTAGAGGGTTTTTCCCAACCAGGTATTTCCCCACCAGCGGGACATTGGCCCAGCCGGGACACGCTCTAAGCTCCCGACAGTGCGGCAAGTGCGGTAGCGTAGTGTGTGTAAGTGTAAGTGAATGAAAGTAAAGAGTGAGGTTAGGACAATAAAGGGGAAGGAAAGGTCGCGCACGGTCCATGGATCGTTTGTTAGGGTACTGCTCCGGCATTCCCTTGGTGTTGGTTGGAGAAACTACGGCAAATTACCGATAAGATTAGCCAACAGCTAGAATTCTCCTAGCGACAGCGGATGAATTCTATCTCGCTGAGAAGCCAGTGTCGAAAAATCTGCCATGGTCGGGACGCTAACTTCAGGTCCTCCCGATCAGAAGCACTGCAGTGAGATCAATTAATGCCCCGCCATTGCCGAGACACTTGTTTCATGATGAGTTGGGATGTTAACAGGGCTGGTTTGAATTGAGTTTTCGACTAATTAATTGATGCCATAAACCAAATAATTAAGATAGATGGTAACAATAATAATAATAATAATAATAATAATAATAATAATAATAATAATAATAATTTGATAACACTAATAATATAATTTAAGCTGACCTTCCCATGCATACGCGGCATTTAATATGCTTTGCAGCATTGAATTTAATATCTTTTCCGACTTTCGTTTTCATGGCAACAATACTAAGTTATTTAAATTTATAAGTACTATCAACTGTTTATTAATGTTTTTATAGAAACATTCAAAATAATAGAAATAATAATAATAACAATAATGTAAATAGTTAAACAATAGTTGTGAACTGTTCATAACATTACATATCATGTTCATAAGATTATTTTAAATAATCATAAAACAGTAAAAATTTTGTTGTAAATATGAACATTTTGTTAATGATCACCAAAGGCATAATACTGGTTAAAAGTTTAACTTATTTATTACAAATTGTCTTCGTCAGTTGAAAATTGTAGATCTGACAGCTCTGCAGTATTCGAAGGCGAAGGCTAATTCTATTGGCAAAGAGAAAGCAGTGATAAGAGTTGCCACAGGTCTACGGAATCGTTGAGTGGCAACAGGGCTACGTTGGACAGGAGAAGGTAGGTGGCAATGATATGGGATGGGAGGGAAAATATAATGAAGCTGCTGATGGGGAAGTGAACATGCAAACTATTAGGGAGAAAATGTGACTGTATTAACGTATACTATTTCATGTTTAAACTTCGAAAGAAGAGTCGTAGTTTGAGGTGCATATATAGGATTGTAGAACATAATTCATTACATTATGCTTTTTGATGTTTAATGTCTCTATGATCAGCATTTCAGGATCTAAGAGAAAAATATGATTCCATTTGTACCCGGTGATGAGTGAGTAAATTCTGTTTTGAGATGTGTTCGTAGACATTACGTTTAAGCTAATTTATTCTCGCACGTAATTTTAATTAGAAGGTGCTACTATTGTAGTATGCTATTAGAACAGGATTTTAATGAAACTATGTTTTCACGATCAAATAGAGGGATTAGGCCTTTGGTGTTTTATAATATTCTCCTTAGTTACGATATTATTTAATAAAACAATTTTAAAATAGGCCTGAAAGAATTGCTTCGTTGTATTGTTGGCGCATTTAATCTATAGTAAATGGAATTTAATTTTAAGTTCAGTTATTTTCATTTGCGGCACCTCTAGAACTAAGATTGACGTTATTATGATGTTAAATGTTGTACAAGATTCGTTTGAAGTGTTGGTATTCAGTTTTCTTAAAAAATTAACGAGATAATAGCAAGTAAACAAAGGTTTTTATCAAAAAACCTTTCATCTGACCCTTAGGTCACTTTGTCTATCAAATTAAAAACGATACCTTTCTTCATTATAATTGGATGATCCGAATTAAAATTGTGGAGAAGGTCTACATACTAGTTAGTAATTATTGCACATTTATTTGCGGGTAAGAAAGAAACATACAAGAATATTACACTATCCATGTGTTTCATTCTTTAACGTAAAATTGATATGTGAATGGTAATAATTAAAATCATTGAATAAAGTTTCGATTTGATCTTTAACAGACTTAGTCTTTCACTCATTATAATACTTTCATCTTCATATGTTTTATTAAACGCGATATTAGAGTGGGCTGAGAACAGAACACTCAAGGTTACCATCTCAGAAAATATCAAACCGCAGGAATATTTCATTGGCAGGTATGTGTCCAAAGGTAGGTTGTAAAGGAAAAATGCTTGTTTGAAATGAAGTGAACCACCATTTCTAATTCTTCTAACGGAATTTTATTGTCTGAGTTATTATTGTGATAAAGTTGATATAAGCCTTGTAAGAAAGCGATCATGGGTATTGGTGGGAAACATATTAACATCATTAAATGCAATTGTTATATTAACTATCCATTGACACCTAGGTTAATTCTCGCACTCGCACTCTCGTCTGGCCCTTCGGTTATTTAAAGTAAAACTTTACGAAACTGAAATCAATTTCATAATAAGTATTTTTAGAATACAAGTGTCTTAAGAAAACGTGACCTACAATACGCTTTGCATTAATGTCACCATTCCAAGGATAAAAACAAAAGAAAAATTACATATAATTTAAATCTACATAAGGTTTACCCCTGGCCCGGGAAACTACGTTAATTCATATGCAGGGTCTCTGAGGATCTGCGCTCTATGCTGTCGAAATATGCACATAGTTCTTTCAAATTCTTAATAACTTCATTTATTAATAATAACAAAGTCAATTCTTAGTCGTAAAAAAACGATTATTTATTTAAATAACTACGAACAGGGCCTTAAAACCCTCCATATACGTGAAAGTAATATAATAACACTTTACTAAGTACTTATAATACTTACGAGTATTATAAGTAATACTTTTTGCCAGTAACTGAAATGAAATGAAAGTAGAAAAACCGAAGAGAGATTACACAGCGTGCAATCTGCATATGTGCGTATGTGTCTTTTTTGAATCCTATTAAAACACACGGAATAAAATAAAATTTAATAATACCACGAAGAAAAAGATGCTTTACTTGAGATACTACTTTGCTTGTGTGGCTATCATATTGTCGCGAATATTATCTCTTTCGAATCATAGAAAATAAATTATTATTGTAGAAATTATGAGAAAAAATTATTTTGGGCTCGTGATTTTCAATGATGCATCCCTCCTTCATAAAGGCTTAACACCTTTTGACTCCGTTTCTCTTCCTCCGTCTTCCTTTGCGGAGCCTAAACATACGTCACATCAAAGACAATTCCAAGTGGACAGAGCGCACAATGGCGGCGGTATCGAGGAGGCCTTGCTCGCCAGGAGTCAACGACTGCATTCAGCGGTGCGTAACGTGCAGCCTTCCCAAGGTTTCCCAATTGGAAAGTACGGCGCGCATCCGATGGGTTTCTTTTACGACAGCTCACTCGGTTTGAAAGCAAAACACAGCGTACAATAGAAATCCAGTGATAGCGAAATGCTAGAGGAGTAACCTTTGATTGCGTCAGTTGTGATCAAAGATAGTACATCTGTACTGAAGATATTAAAATTTGTGAAACATTTTACTAAAACTATACATCTACTCATTCAAAAACGTTATTCAAAGTAATTTTTGTGATGGAAGTCCAGATAAAAATTATAGTTTTTTTCTATTAATTCTGATAAAATTCAAGAAGACGCACTTTGACTTCTTTGTTTAATTAACTCTAAATATACTCATTAATTCCACGAAAAATAGATGATTATCATTATGTTAATTGTATGCGTCCAATTAAGAATCCGTAACTACCAATCTGAGTTCACAAAAAGGATCGAAATTCTTTAATTAGGTTACTACAATACGGATATGGCCAAGGTATTTCCAATCGGCCATGTAACACAAACAAAAATGTATATTACAGATTACGTCCCTGCAACAATTACAGATAAACATTTGCAAACATTTCTTCATCCTTAACGTCAGTATAGTGATCATAATTTCTGTGACATACCAGAAATTCCCCCTATGGCATTTCATAAAAGTAAAAATGCACCGAACATATTACTTTCGAATATGATGCACACAAATTGTCTAGACCAAGGAATACACGTCGTTAGGACATAGTCAACAAACTCTGTGTTCCGTGCTTGATAGTTTGAACCACAAAACAATAAAGGAACGGAACAATAAAGGCCAGATCGCAATATTCTTGTGCGAAACATAGCCACGGAACACAATGTTGAAATGACAAGGCGGCGTTGTAAAATCGTGATTTTGCAATTATTTAGGATGGGTCAGTCTCTCTCTTTGCAGCATCCGAAGTGGATGGTACTAATTTAGCAGACTTAAGGTGGGTAACATTTTGATATTAGGAAACAGGAAACTTACGTTAATTGTGAGATTTGTTTGTGTGTAGTATGTAATATGAGGGTATAGTTATTAGCTTTTGTTGTAATTTGTGATTTTGGGGATTCATGTAAAATAGACTTCGTGGAGAATTAGTGTAGAATATATTCGTAATTATTAATGTACATTATATATTGTTTTAAGTTAAAGTAAAATGACAGGCAGTTGCAAGTAGGCGCTTCATCCCAGGCGGGAAGGGAAAGTTGCGTTCGCGAACTGCATTAATTGAATAGATCGGATTATAAATATTATTATCAAACAGGATTTTCGGGAAACATTACAAAAATTATCCCGCTGCCAGAATTTACGACGATAGCAGGATCACCTCGAGGACATCCGACCGATGGCATCCAGACGGAAGACATCTTTAAGATCAACGTAGAAAATATTGCCGTAAGATTACGAACAATTATACGAGAAATTTCG